GATTGGCTCTCTTGTGAGGAAATAGGAAACTCAATAAGTTTGCCGCACATAACCACTCAGTTAAGAAAAAATTTCACAAAAATTTCTACAACGCCGATAAAATGAAAGTCAGAGATTACCTGAAATAAAAACATATACCTAATACATTTAAAACTGAGCATCAACTCAGGTTATCGATTATCAAGCACACAATCTGTCGACTTATTTCTAGATTTTTTTCGAATTTCCGGAATATGGAAGCTATAGATGAAAAGATTGAGACTTAGGTAAACTATTCTGAGGTCCAGTCAAGACAGGTCGACAAGGCTTTAAAGCTACATAAATATCTGAGTAATTTTACCATGCACTGTAACTACATCTCAATAAATGAATGAAGACAAACTTTTTGTCGTAACAAGTTCGCTTGACCGCTTGGCTCAAGACGCATCAAGCTGTTTCCCGCACGCTTACATACTTTTGCGTTTAGTCGTTTACACGCTTACACATGTGAGACTAGGTATGTCTGCTGTTGAGCGTTGAGTTCACGCTGATTCTTTACGCGGCCACACAAAAATGGATTTGTCCGCTTAATGGGAAATCATTAATTAGTTTAGTTTTCCCAATAACTTCTGAGGAGGGCAACGCTGTTGATAGGGGTTGGTTTGTGGGGAGCTCTGCTAGAGAAATCTATGGTTTTTTCCGCAACTTAATTTCAGCTTGACCACAGGGGTTGGTACGATGCGAATGCTGATAATTTGGAATGGACTTGGAGATGGGAATTCAGCTACATAGGTATGTATATTCCTTGAGCCAGAAGCAGACGTGCGTAATGCAACTTTCAGTGGGATCAAGTGCCAGAAATTACCAAAGCTCAATTAATGTGCAACACAAGTAGTTCTGCGGCAGGCTATAGAAACTGTGCTTGTTGTTAATTTCGTGTTTTTGTTTCGTTAAGATTTTAGTTTGGTTGTTAATTTCCTTGTCATTTTCACGAAGAAATACCTAAAACCATCAATCAGTGTTCAAAAAGAAAGTCGAAAATATGTGGACTAAATGCTCAATAGAACGTTAGATCTCAAGGCTCGTTACTTATTTACCGATAAATACAAAATAAGAAATTTTTTTTAATTTTGTCATTATGCAGCCGTAGCGCTTAGAAAATATATGTTGCTTGAATTCATTTGCGAATTTCCGGCTCCATATACTCATGTAAAGCATTGGTATTCTGAAAGAGAGAATCAATTGTTCGACTGTCCGGTTAAAAATAATACGAGGCCTACCTATCTTTATGAGGCCCATTGTGCAAGAATACGGTGGGGGGAAACAAATAGTTTTTATGTAGAGTTTTGATAGGGGTGAGTGTGAGTTATAAATATTCATATGCAGTATAAACTTAGACCACCATGTATTGAAATTTGTAAAGGTCTCTATAGTCACTGATCGCGTTTCGACTAAGAGAGCTACGCTATGTTATGGTGCTGTTAAAGTTGGTTTCTGCGGTATCTATGTATGAGACTGGGAGGTACCACCTTGAGAGACCTTGAAAAATATGAAACTACTATATGTTATTCGCAATTGCTCTAGACACTGATCCTCAGTCAGTGACCGAAATATATAATAAAACAATAAAGCTTTCATTCCACAGTAAGTATCATCGTCTAACGAACCGTCTGGGTATACTTGTATATAATATATGTCAATTTCAAAACTTGAATTCGATCTTCCCAATTCCTTGAAAAAGTTGTGACGCAACGAGGGAATAAAGTGGTTTCTCGGAAAGGAACTCTGATAAAGGTTCTGTACTTAAATACATACCATATATATTAGTAGCAAACATTTTTAGAAAACCAAAGCAAAACTGCTTATCAAAGAGCTTCTTCCGGTGTACTAACACATTCAACATTAAGAAAAGCAAAACAGCATTGAAATACCCGTCGCCTCCCAGAGACCTTTTTCCAATCTACTTTCTACCACTTCAAAGTGAAGTTTTCTATTAGCGAAAACTTTGTTTGTCTGGTCGAATGTAGCCCCGGACTGTGTGCCACTAGTTAATTGTTGGGAAGTTTCGATTTCAATTGGCCCCTCTTTAAAAAGCATATACTGTATCTTGACTGCGAGCCGGGAAGTGTGCTTGTGTGTGTGTGTAACTGCTGTAAAGCTGACTTAAATACACTCGAAAGCGGGTAGTGTGGTTTGCCCATTTCAATTGCTGCCGCACAGAAAATTAGTTTCCGGCACAACGGCACCGCCAAGTGGCGTGGTCATAAATGCACATTCCATCACGACTTCGCGTCCCCACTATCAACTTCCACTGAAGAACTCGCAATATAACTGCGTGTGCTGATGTTGCTGGTATTGCAACTACAATAGTACCATGGGTTGAAAAAGATCAATACATGGGCCGTAGTCGTTGATAATTTGCTTGTTGTATGTACTAACCTTCGGTCGGTTTGATTGTTCCGTTGGTGCAAAAAGTCAATCACAATTCCCCATGCAATCACAACAAGAATAATATTTAAAGAGGCCATCGATGCCGCAACGCCGTTATAGTCACAATACTCGTATACTGCCGGTGTTTGTGTGCAAATATATTATTTAATTTGAAAAGATAAGGAGAGCTGCGATCTTTGGAGGGTTGCTTTTTATTAAGAAAAAAGAAGAACCAGAAAAATCAAGCCAAAGAAGTAATTGTATTAAGTTGTGGAGGAAAGCCCACATTACTCTGGTTCTCCATTATTATTTCTAAAAAAAATCAACCACCAAAGGATCGGAAGCCTCTCCTTATCTCAAAAATGAAATAAAATAATTTGCACAACAAAAACACCGGCAAATGTATACGGAAGTATGACGCCACTATAACGACCGTGCGCACATCGATGCCCTTTTAAAGTAAACTTCTGGTGGTGGCCATGGGGAGAGGGATTGACTTTTACGACCACCAAATCGGTAAACCAAATCAGAACCGACCGAAGGGGGGTACAAAAAGAACAACAACAAGAGCCACTACATATAGCCAACTGCGCCACGGCCTCACCGTATGCCTTTTTCGAACCCACTGCTACTATGTTGAGTTGTCAATCACCAGCAACAGCAGCAAACAACAGCAGCATATACAACT